TTGTTTACCTCTGTACACTAATCGAACACTAGTCCTTTTTCAACGCCAGCATTCCCCAAAAGGCCCTCTCTGAGTCGCTACGCGTCCTCCAGCCCGGCGGTGTGTTAGCCGCCTCATCGTGGGCCGAAACCGATTGGCTTAGAATCCTGCGGACTATCACGAAGATTGACCCGGCGCGCAGCCCGCCATCCATTCCTGCCGAGTGGGCGCACGCAGGCAATTTAGCCGCGCAGTTGGAAGTTGCGGGATTCCGCGATGTCGAGGTTCATGAGGTCGCTGTTGATATACCGTTCCGGTCATATGCGTCATTTGTGGATGTGATGATGACCCGAGTGACTCAGATGATGACGGCCAGTCAGGACTTGGATGAGGAGCAGAAGGCTTCGTTGAGGGTGCTGATGATGGACGAGATGAGGGGTTTGTGTCCAACTGAGCCTGGAACTCTTAAGGCCATTTCTCTGGTTGCTGTTGGGATGAAGTAGTTGATCACTTGGTTGCGTTCATTTCTGATGAATATATATAGTAAAACAAATGAGATTGAAATAAAACGAAATCAAAACTTGGATACTAGATGCTGTACAAGCATTTTTATAACTAACCCATCTCCTCTCTATATATTATTATATACCTTCATACCACCAAGACATTGAAAATTCTCAATACGACGTAGTATAATGATTAAGTTACTGTCGTATGTTATATATCTCCAGCCGCCAGCAAGTTCACGAGTTCACATTCCCCGTGACATAATCATATTCCAGAATCGGGCAATATAATTGATGGTGTACCTTAAACATTCTGAGTAAATTGCTACTAATTAAACTAGCTATTATGGCTGAGCGATACATCGGCAATAACAGGTGCAGCGAGTTGATATTAGATAGGTAACTAACTGATAGATTGCCATCCGCTAAAATCGTCAATAGACTCACGGTCGCACCATCACAAGAAGTATGGATATAGGATGTCCTCTATAGTCTAGTTAATGCTACATACTCGCCAGAGTGGTGTTGAGAATAATATTCTAATAACAGTTTCCCCGACGCCGGTAGGTCATCTATAATGTTCTTAAACATTTGTCACCTACTGCACAATTCCATAGCCCATCGCGTCTCCCTCCCTAATTTCTGGTTCTCCACGACGACATTCCTGACGCTTTCTTTTTCTGTGCCCGTCGGAACTGCGTTATATTAATATCTCTACTTATGTTCCGTCTCGGCCTCCTCCGCGTCAGCTGTCCGTTTGTCGGTAATTCTCTCCCACTTAACCCCAAAAGCAAGGAAGAACGCCGTAGCTGTAGTACCAACAGCGACATACTATTGTGACCATATCTGTTAGTCTCACTGCTACTACAATAGCCGTAGGAGAAGGCCAACTTACGAAAGTCGAAGTGATTGCGGTATTATACGCCTCCAGAACCGGGCGCAGAAGATCCGGAAAATGCTCTTCAACGGTATCACGCACATCTGCCATCCCACCCGCAGACAAAAGCGCGATCTGCTCGGAATTGAGGCCAGCATGGTCTGCCAGCTCAGGGTACAAGACAGAGCGAAACACAATACCGCCGAGAGCCTGCATGATGGTGGCGCCCAGGTATTGGAAGAACAGGTTCAGGGATATCGCGACGGGCATGAGCTCCGGTTTATCGCGCACAGTGTGCTGAACAATGAGCGATGGCATTTGTTGCGCCATGCCGACACCGAGACCCTGGATGACCTGGAATCCGATCCAGTGGCTGGATGGGGTGTGGAATGCTGAGAAATGGGTGTAGAGGGCTGCGGCGGTGCACATGAAGAGAGGGCCGATGTGGAGCCACGGGTTGTAGTAGTGGATTTTTTGTGCTGTAGAAATTTGTAACGTCAGCGTCTATGTAGTTTTCGTGGCATATTTCTAGAAGGATACCTAAAAACCCAGCAAAGAGCGTGCCAACTATTTGGGAAAGCACAGAGGCCAAAACCCGAGTACCACTCTGCAACGGAGACGCGCCTTCTACGACCTGGAACCATACTGGGAGATAGTAGTTGAGGATGCCGACAGAGCCGAAGTGGCAGAAGGAGAACAAAACACTAAATGTGACTGTCCGTCTGGAGACGACATTTCCCGGTACCATGGCACCCTCGCCTTTATAGCCCTCCCACGAGACGAAGATGATAAAAGCCACACCGGACCCCACGAACAGCCCGATCGTTGTCGCTGAGTTCCAAGCCTCCTTCGTACCACCCCACATCATAGCAAGAAGCAGCATGAAGACAGCCGGAACAAATATGGCACATCCAATGAGATCCAGGTCCAGGATTCGCTGCGCAACTGTTTTATTGCGCTGTATCGACGGAGGTTTGAAGAGAAAAAGCATAGAGAGCAGCGTCAGAGCACCGGGGGGAAGGTTCACCCAAAAACACCACCGCCAGGTCGTGTCTTGTGTGAACGCGCCGCCAATAACAGGAGCTAGAATTAGCCCCATGGCGAAGCAGCTGCTGCATATGCCTAGCAACAATGGTTTTGATTTTTCGGGAGAAACAGTGAGCACAATGACGAAGCCGCCACTTGCGACACCAGATGCTCCAATACCTGCAATTGCGCGACCGACGATGAAGGCGTTGCTATTGGGCGCGAAACCACAAACAAGGCTGCCGACCATGAATATAGAGAAGAAGGATATATAGATCCATCGAAGAGGAAACGATGAACTTAGCTTTCCTGCTAGCGGAGTCAATGCGCACGTCGTGAGCGAGTAGGCAGCCGGATACCAGGCTAATTGTGCCGTATCGTGAAAGTCAGATGTGATAGATGGGATGGCCTATCCGGAGGGTCAGATAATTTCAGGTTGAATCTTGTCGGAATGACACGAGGGATTGGCAGTAGTACAGTTGCGATGACAAAAATATCCAAGGACATGAGGAACGCGCCAAAGCATATGCCCACAAAAATGGCAAATAGCTTGAATCCGTGCATGGCGTGTGGATTCGCCTCCATTTCTGGGACGTCAGGCTCAGCCTCTGTGCTTGGGCCATGCTGGTCGTAAACCTGAGCAGGGCTGTCGGCATCGTCCTCATCCTCCGGTTTAGTGGCTATCCTGGCATCGTTTGGAGCAGGTGCAGCCATAATGGAATTCTGGATGTTGGTTCATGAAACGAGAGGGGCAAAATACTTCAGGTAATTAGGCAAATGAGTCAGTTTGGCAGACTTGGGTTACCGCACGGAATGGTGTTGGACCGGCGACATTTCACTTTGGCCTTTGGAAATAAGTCGCCGGTTCGAACAATACACCCCTGCTTAGCCGCATCTCGGAACAAGCTAGTATTTTGAGAAAAGTACTATTTTGAAGCCGAAGTGGTTGTCGTGCAGCTCTCAATGGCATGAGGTACAGCATACATGCTCGTATCTTAATAAAGAGATAGCGGGTATTGAGTATTACGCTAAAGTTCACGTTTAGGCTATGAAGAAATCTCGATTCCCTCTTGAAGTACTCCGTTGCCATCCAAACATGTCTCGCTTTGATTTCTTTGATCTCCACAATCGAGGGCCCTCTCGGCCAATCAGTACTAGTGATGCGCCCCACCCCTAAGGCCAAACCATTGAGCAATCATCAGTAAATGGACCTGGACAACCTACTTATATTTATCTTCCATAAGGTTATTGAAGCTACGGGAATCCGGCGGGACTGGGTTGACTCATTTCCCTACCCCGGTTATACCACATGGAGGTCCCCGCCTATTAGACTGTAAAACAGGGCTCTTACTACTACAACAATGGCGGCTTTAGCGTTAATGTAAGTCACCGCTCGGTATACTAGGAGTGTCTTTTCTATATATATATTGCACTATTATCACGACCTCTATCTATCAGATATGATACACTGTCATATTATAAACGAATTCTAGCATGCTGAGGATGTGGACCAGCATGGATCGGCTAAATCAGGAATACAGAGATAGAAATTGTAAGCACCGTGACCTATCTAGAGATGTTTAGATTTTCCAATACTCATCTCCAAGCAAAAGGATCCACGAATACAACGGTAACATGATCATACATGTTTCATAAAAGGGAGTTAACCGAGACACTAAAGACGAAGTACTACCTCTTAATGTTGCCCTTGGTAGGTTATTGAACTCTGAAAACCTCTGCAACATGTTATTTTCCGCTTTATCCCGCGTTCATAAATTCATACCACAAGGCGAAATATCACTAACAGGGCCATGCGGCTTTGGGTGCGACCAGAGCAATTGTCAAGGCAGAAGCCAGGGTTGGTATCCTTAACCATTAACGCTGTAAAGGACCGGGTCAAGAGGTCCATGTATGGTCTTCTTATCCAAGTAACATGCTAGGTCTATTAGATATGTACTACTTTCACAGCTTGATTAATCCAGCACAAAGGCTATTATGCCTAGTCACTGCGTGTCTTCCGCTATTCCCTTGACTCGTGCAATGGCTAACCCACATATAGTTGTATTATCCTGCACGCTTACCTTTCCATATCTGATATATGTGATCGACCCCCAGAAGGATTTGCAACGGGTATGGACATGCGTTGAGGATAAAGATAATGTCGGATTCACTTTGAGCATGAACTCACGCATTGAAATCAATCATGATTAACAGCTCTTTTTATAAAAACACCCCTTATGAAGACGCTTCCTATGCTAGTAGCATGGCTGACGATGTCGCTTCCATATTTTATTCAAACAAAGATGATTATGATGTTTAATTGTGTCGTAGAAGGCCAAGCTGAAGGTACACGTTGAGACTGGCGGATAAAGAAGATGACCTGTACCGATATTCCAAAACCAGTTCTATGCGAGCTTACACATTAGCGGGGAAGGAATCACACATGTTAAGAGCTATGATGATAGTATAGATACTAGTCACCTTGAAACTCAGTGCATTTGTCACGCCATACCAGGAATAAGCAAATTATGTGGAGACGATCATTGCTTCTCCTCTGAAGTTCGGTAACATCAACTCCGAGCTGAACTACGGGTCTTGAAACTAGTTACCTTCAAGTTGATAGTTCATGCACTGTGATAGTGCTAAGCAGGGTGATAGCATCGCAGAATCCGGGATTTGAATGATCACGAGAGTAGCAACAGACGATTCCCACCTCATACCACATATGTTGAGCAATCAGAGCAGAACGATTCTGCGAACTATCCGGAGATAATCGGACGATCACTAACCACCTGTACAAATACGTGTTACACAGACGTTCCAAATGCCTGCATGAATGCATCCCCACATCATAACCCGCCAAAGAATTCAGACATACGGGCAACCGCATGAAATACCTCATACCAGGATTCTGTTCACTAAGTCCACACGAATATAAATAGCCACCCATTTCAAGTTCGTTTCTGAGTATACCAAAAACCAAACCCTCATACTACCACAGCGAAAGCTAGCCACTGCTGCAAGAACACGACGAATACCTACATCATGCGTTCAATGATCCCTTTTCTGGCCGCCGGCATCTCTCTCCTCGCCAACACCGCCACAGCCCTCTACTACACCCCTCTTCCAAAAGGTAACGGCTTCTTTCTGATCTACTCGGCAGATAACGACCAAGAAGCCATCGGCTGCCTTGCCACAGACGGCAAATGGACATCCGCGGAGGTCACTGGATGTGGTATCCCCTACTCTGATGGAAAGGGATACGTGGAAGGGTTTGACGGCTACCTCAGAGTGAATGCGAACCGTGTCATTACGACTGCGAAGGATGAAGCTGATGCCTCGGATTGGGGTTCATCTGCCAATGTGGACGTGAGTTATCCCACACTCCTCCTTCTTTCCCAAGGTATTGCCTGGACGTACATGTTCGAGATATGTAGCTCACTATTTCTCTCATCTCGAAGGCTCTCCCGGCAATGATTCTGGCCGATGGTGGTCAATACCTGGACTTCGGTGGTGGTGGACCCTTTTGGTATGCTGCGGCTGCTCCGTCGGGGGCGGACACGGTTGAACTGAATGCTGTGCCTATGGATGGGGATCAGGTTCAGAATGTTACGCTGTCGTGGCTGGACTATGATAGGTATAAGGCATGGAGCTCGTCTAATGATGCTGGCGAAGAATAAAGAGTGGCTGATAGGTAGGCCTTTGAAATTTTGAGGCAAATGTAGGGGGTATACATGTCATTGTGTACTTGTGATATATTTGTTGGTCAGACAGGCAGTCGCGGGCAAGTTGCAAATCGTGGTATATTGAATTCATGGTGTTTCGATAACTCACTCTTTGAAAGTATTGAGGTAATCGTATTACGCGAACATTAGGCGAGCCCTTGAAGCGGCAGACTGGACTGAGCCGGGCCGCGTTCAAGCCTTGAGAGTATTTCACTAGGCCTCAATGCCATGACATAGGTACCTGACTAAATCCCCCAACCTCTCAACCTTTTGCCACCCCTTGGCATTGTTCAACTTGTTGGTTGTGTCTGCAAAGAGACGATACACAGGAAGCTGTTTCAAATCTTCTGGCTCCTCTGACCCATGTGATCTGGCAATGTTTCTCAATGCGATCTGCATGTTCTTGTGTATACGAAGGTTCTTTGCCAAGAATCTATCACAATCGCGCGGTTTTATCTCTTGACATGCACGCAAGGTGAATAGTCACCTGTATTGGTGTAAAGAATCTTACTGTGTGAGAAGGTGGAGTACGATGCGGGCTATGCGTTCTCGGTTGATAGGTCTCTGTCCAGTGTGACTAGTATGGGTCGGGGCGAATGCAGGGTATGCCAGCAATGGTTCTGGAGGACTGTATGTAAATTTTTACACACCCAAGAGATGTGGCGCTGCAAAGCTGCTCGAAGGACAGTGGGTATCATTGTACCTAGAATATGCTGAAACTTTCATCCAGAATACTTCCACGATGTCCAATAAATCATGGGACATGTGTGCATCGAAGGGCACTACCCTCCAGGCCTCTCGTTCATTGCTGGTAATTCAGCCGGGTATCCTCCATCTGGTGGTATTTTATATTTCCCTGGTCCCGGCATGGGATAGTACGTATCAGCTGGTAATTCCGCCGTAAATCCTTGCTTAGGATCCTGCCGATACTGCTGCGCAAAGGCATAGGGCGTCTGTGAAGTCATCGACTCCGACCGCGAATACTCACTCGGCGACATGGGCACCTGATATGACGATCGTCGGGACCGTTCATCCGACTGCATCATAACGGCGGTGTGTGTCCGATCTGCTGGGTTATACGTCCTGAGCACCCCGTCTTCCATGATACCATGTAAGACACCTGCGTCGAGGAGTTCGGCTTTCTTGATCAAGCGATCCACTAATACTTTGGATGCGGCGCGCAGCTGGCTCTTCACGAACGAAATCAGCGTTATATTGCATTCGATCTCGACGTCTTCGCGCAGACACAGTCCTCCTTTATTATTCCTCATGGACTCTGTAACTGCGAGCTCAAGTGACGGGTCATTGTTTGGGTCCTCCACAATGCGATATGTGTTGCGCAGATCAACGCCCATGGGTGCGTAGGTGTGGGTTTTCAGCCCCCAGGGTTCGTCGTGGAAGCAGCCTCTGAAGCTAATTGTGCCGGGGACGTAGCGCACTCGCTCAGTAATCTCGTACCATGTTGAGTAGTACTCGTCTGCTGGAGCGTTGCGTGGGGCTTTGATGGGGTGGTGGGAGATGACGAGGGGGTTGAGGGAGATGATCTCGCCGTGGCTGTGGAGGATGTCGATGGCTAGTTGACGGGGGATATTGGAGGGGAGGGGGATAGTGTTGGTGTAGACTTCTTTCTTGCGAAGCATTCTGGTGAATTGCCGTCAGTTGGGGACTGTGGTCGTGAAGATGCAGGGCAAGGTGGTAGGGAGGTGCGCAGACTATGGTGGTGATGATGATGACGAGAAAGTTGTTGATGCCTGCGTGGAAGAAGAAGTGGGGGTCAGCCGACCTCGTATTCGGCAGCTCAACCCAGAGTTTATCATGACGGACCAATGTGAGCCATCAGAGCGGAGGCAGAGACAGGAGTAAGCAACAAGGTGATTGTTCGCCTAGCAGGTTGATCTTTGACTTAGTATACCTAGGATCAACATAGTATATAAAGGGTAAGTAATTCGCGAGAGTGTATTCATTCAGCTCCTGGGCATTCAGTGACCGTGTATCGCTGCCATGACAGTAGATAGTATGCTTTGGTAGTGTTTCAAAGGGCCATAGGCCATGTTCAATAAGGTATTGCTATAGGGGAAAGTCAATTGTTGGCTTTAAACTCCCAATGAACTATGGAATCAAATGACTCTAACGGGTTAGACTCAGAAGTGGGGGGCCTGGAGAATCACTTACCAAGTCAAGATTCTGCCTTGTCGGTTCAATGTTTCTCCCCTCCGAAAGTATCCCGCACTCGTTGATTCCTGGAAGACCAATGGTTATTACACCACCAAAGAATAAACTTGTTCAAGCAGTAACTTCGAGCCTTCTAGTCCGTGCAGTCGCTATAGCCCCCTTATGTTTTGTTTTGCGGCACTTCCTTCCCTTCATTCCGAGGGGGTCTGAAGCTTCTGTTGCGATATATTAGTCCGTTGGATCAGGCATGCACCCTTCCCTTTCAGTCGGTCATAATATATCATTCAGTGGAATGGTTCTTAAAATTCAAGTCTCGTTGAATGAATGTACGGCTAATTGCTGCTCCACTGGAATCCCTCCTATCCATGTCAGATCTTGTAGCATCTGGTGCCATACTGTAGCATCCCAATCTTCGGTCACAGCAGACTCTGTGACTAGAGGGGAATCTTCATGTACTGGCTCCGGCAATGGATTGGTGTTCTCAACTTCCTGTTTGTCTGATATTTCTTCATGAAGTTGCATTTCTTTAGACCGTGTGCGACTTTTTTCTAGCCATGAGAGCATGGACCCGATCACTGCAAGGCAATTATCCCAGACATCGTTACCTCGTGACATCGTCTCCATCTTTTGCATAGCTGCAAGGCCGAGGTTGTGGATGTCTCTGCTATGGACATCGAGTGACTTGTCTTCCGTTGCCGCATCCGGAAGCAAGCTCAACTTCGACAGAACAAGAAGGCCGTACCAGATAGAGGTGTAGCTGAACATAGGGAGATTAGGTGCGACTGAGGTCGGTGTTGCGAGGAATACTGTCACAATGTTGAATGCGGAACGCGCAATACGAAGCAGCCGACGTTGATTATACTGGTGATGGCTATCCCTTTGGCTAAGTGCATGCCCGAGAACAATTGCGGGAATTGCATTCAGCTCCAATCGCAGCGCCCCTATTGAAGTAAGTAAATGCATAAGCTAAACAGTGTCAGGTAAACATACAGGTATTACACTTTTTGTTCTGTAGGAAAAGCTGCTCTATTTGATTCTCAAGTACGTCAATAGACCGGAATAGTTCGTCCTTATTTATTGCGTGAGTAGGGTAATCGACCTCTAGCTCTGATTTTCGAGCAAGCAATTGGATCTCAATCAGTGCTTTGATATACTGGTCACTGGGATACTCTGCTCTCTGCCCTAAGCGTTCAGCACAATGATTGACCCAGTCCGTATGCTTCATGTTCAGCTGTCGCCGAAATATTGAGGCCCTTATTGCGTTAGTAGATAACCCCGTACCGATTGCGAAAGTCTCACTTGGAACATAGATAATAGCAACCTAAGAATGCGCGCTGCCCGTCAGGGGTCAGATGGAGCACTTGTACCCCCTGAGAACCCTCCATGTCTTCCCCATGGCCATAAATGTGTCGCATTCTAAAATTGTCGTATCTGTCAAGCCCCAAGTCAACAACGATAGCCATAGCCATCTGAAGAAGCATATACACCTGGGTATGGTAGTTGCGCCAATGATAATGAGACCATGCGATATGAACCAACAAGCCACGAAGTATGTCCATGTCCCTCTCCATATTCATCATTATACGGGTTGATATAACAGATCGAACTTCCAATTCGAACTTTTGCTGGAGAGCGGGCTTGTGCTCGAGACAAGCTGTCATTATGCATAATAAGAGAAACGGAGACTTCTCACGCAATTTACCAAAGTTTGCTTCATCTATAGGGACGAATGGGAACAGAGGCATCAAGTCTGTGCGGAATTTCAGGAGGAGCTCTTCACCTTCCGCGATATTGAGAAGTTCCCTATCAATGAAATCGTTGCGCCATTTGGGCTTGGGGCTTACAGAACAGGATTTCGTTGCTGATACGGGCGTCAGGTTCATTCCTGAGCCCTATTGAAGAAAAGTTAATGTATAAGATTTCGGGGGGGGCAAGGGCTGGATCTGTTCGGAGATACCTTATCAGCGTGCACTTGAGCAGCAAGTCTGTCGACCTGGTGCTGAATGGTATCGATGCGGTTATTTCTGGATACAGGAGTACAATGTTACCCAACAGCCTGCACCGGCAAAATGTAAGTAGTCATGGGCGAACCTGATGCTTGTATTCCTGAGCGAGCCGTCTGGGAAAGTACAGTGGCGATCAAGTCTCGCACATCGCTGACATCGTCCATTGTCAACTAAGACACATTTGGCTTTCAATTGGATACATCGTATACACGCATGCCGTCTTGACGGGCTTTTTGAATGCATTGCACTCTGCGTTGAGAAATACTTTGGTATAGGGTGGTGAATGACTGTGAAGTAGAGTGTCGGAGACAGACAATGACGGCGCGGATCGGAGTCGGCCTCGAGTCGGTCACGGGGCCGGAACCGGCGCCGGCCTACCCTAACAGTAGACTACCCAATTCAGTAACTCTCAGGAAACAGGCTTAGCATACAAGTTGATTGCCATGAACACCAAATCTATCGCTTTACTCATGATCAGTCTTCTTCCTGATATCTTCAAACTCACCTGACGCAATGTCCAGAACACAGGCCGTTGGTTCTGTGAAGCTGTACAGCATCTTGGCCGGCATCATGATAGCCACTTTCCTGATATCATTGGATGTTTCTATCATTGCTACTGTAAGCTCACTAAAAACTGCTCCTTTCATTTTGATTCTTCTGGTAATTAATATCGTTTCTCAAGGCCATTCCCTCGATATCGACTCAATTCCATGCTACGACAGACATCGGCTGGTATGGAGCTACCTATCCACTCACGATGTGCGCTCTTCAACCTATCAGTGGCAAGCTCTCTTCGTTGCTGTCATTGCGATGGACATACCTTTCTTTCTATAGCATATTCCTTCTAGGATCTCTGATATGTGGTGTGGCAAGCAGTTCCAAGATGTTCATAGTTGGAAGAGCAGTTTCTGGTGCTGGAGGGTCTGGGGTAGTATCGGGTGGTCTCTCTGTCATTGCGTTGATAACAACTCCGGAGCAGCGCCCCCTGTTCACTGGTCTGGTGACATCTCTCTATGCTTTTGGGACTGTTGTCGCCCCAATCGTCGGAGGCGCTCTAGCTGAGCATACCTGGAGGTGGTGTTTTCTCATCAACCTTCCAGCAGGAGCAGTGACTGTCGTGACGTTGCTTTTGTTTTTCCATCCTCCTCAAAACACTGGGATACAAGGTGTGCCCTTCTTGAAACAACTTGATTTAATCGGATGCGCTCTCTTCATACCCTCCGTCATAATGGTGATGTTGGCGTTGCAGTGGGGCGGTGATGAATATTCCTGGGATTCGGCGACCGTGGTCGGACTTTTTGTCGGCTTTGCCGTGACGATGACAATCTTCATCTTCTGGGAGTGTTACATGGGCTATGAGGCTATGGTCCCCATTGTACTTCTCTGGGGCAGGTCCACAATGCTTAGTCTTGCATTTGCCTTTTTGTTTCTGGGTTCCTTCGTCATTCCGGTCTACTATCTACCGGAATGGTTTCAGATCGTCAAGTCAGCAAGCCCTATCCGCAGCGGAGTCATGCTTCTACCTTCGGTGTGCACTCAGGTTTTTGGTTCTCTTGTCTGTGGGATCTCAGGTAAACACAGAATTATTTACTTCGTCTATGTACATTCTACTGACGCTTTATAACTATAGCCAAGCACCTCAGATATTACAATCCGTGGCTCCTGGTGGGCTCTGTCTTTCTCTGCATCGCCAACGGTCTATATACGACACTCACTGCATCCTCACCATCTGCTTCTTGGATTGGTTATCAGATCTTTCAGGGCCTGGGATGTGGATTTGCAGCCCAGATCCCCTTGCTTACAGCTCAGCTTGTATTGAAGGACAGACCGCGGTACATTCCAGTTGGAATAGCGACTGTCCTCTTCACGCAATACTTTGGAAGTGCAGTAATGCAAAGCATAGGAGGCGCTATCTTCCAGAACGAGCTGAAGAAGCAGCTACAAGTTCAAGCGTCGTTAGATAATAAGCAGATCGAGATGCTTTTGAATGCTGGAACCCTAAGGGTACGGGAAGTTGCTGTGCAAGCATTTCCGGACCGCTTAGTCGATATCATCAATGGATACAATAAAGCCATCACGACTATCTTTGTGGGTTGATCCCCAATTTTCTAAAATTCTTTCATCGGGTTACTGACGATGATCATACAGTATCTTCCGATAGCGGGTAGCGCTCTCGCATTCATTCTGGCCGCTGGTATTCCATGGGTCAATACTCGCTCGGCTCAAAAAGATGATGTAGACTGTATAGAGGAAGCCGATCAACTCCAGTCTGACAAGAGTGCCAATGTGTGAGATCAACACCGTGCCTGTGGTCATGAGAAATGTCACTCTAGCAGAAATTTATTCTGTACTAGCACCTCGGACCATCAACAGGTGGTATATATTCGCACGACAATGGCATACGCACGCTACTACGTTTCACTATTCAGATACCCCTTCAAACTGTCTCACAGACGATCCTATGTTTTTGCAGGGTGTCGAGAACAAAGCAACGACAATACATTACTTCACTATATTTCTTAACAACATACTCCTTGAAAGTGTCGGAAGTTCGTTTTCCCGATGACAAAATCACGTGACTGTCAATTTTATTGGTTCACAGAAGTCGACCGCATTAACATTAATATACATCCTGACCTCTAATAGAGCTTTTCGCATCTATTACCCCAACAGCCATGCCCATCGGGCTCTTGTAACACTATGCACACATATAAACATACAAACTGAATTCGCATTCCATATGCTGGTCCAAGAACGGCACTCGTCCCAGCCGTCCTCATCACTTAATTCAATTCCCCTCTACCGTATGTTTATAATCCTACAATCCACAAATAGTAGAACTAAATATTCCATAGTCTCAAATACCAATCCTCAATGTCCTCTTGACATTCAGTTTCTCACAATCAGCCAACCAACCATTTGCCATGGCAATATCCCATCTCCACCGCCACACCTCCCCCGGCCCCCTAACCGTCAAACACTTCATCGACTCCTTCCAGCGCATATGGCTGGAGTCACGACCAGCCCGAACAGGGCGAAAACATGATGCTCATCTCCCACGAAGAATAGGTTTGTCCCCTTCCCTGTACCCACCTCAATCAGAAACTAACACGCACCAGGCCTCGCCATAAGCGGCGGCGCCGACTCGATGGCCCTCGCCTACCTCTGCAAACAATGGGAACTAAACCAGAGGCAAACAAGCAACGACACCGTCTCTGTGACAGCATTCGTCGTGGATCATAAAGCCCGCGAAGAGAGTACTCGCGAAGCGAACATGGTCGCAGGCTGGCTTGACGATATGGGTATACTTGTGCCGTACATCTTTCCATAACCCATCACATATTAATCACAGTGACAGGCCTAACGACAGATATCCTCCCTCTCACCTGGCCATCCCACTCCATCTCCGCCTTCGAAACCCACGCCCGGCGCCTGCGCTTCCAAGCTCTCGGGCAGGCCTGTCGAGCACGGAACATCGAGACTCTCCTCATGGGCCACCACCAAGACGACAACGTCGAGACGACCCTCTGGCGTCTCTGCACGGGGGCCAGGGGCGCCGGACTAGCGGGTATTCCGGCGGTAACGCGCATTCCTGAATGTCATGGGTTGTTTGGGGTTGCGGAGAGTGGATCTTCATTGACATTACTAAACCCAGAAGGACTTAACTATCGCATCAAGACTACGAATACTAACGAATTAAAGCTCACGGCATCACCCACCACAACCCAACACCAGCAAAAACAGTACCAGATATCAACAGGCGGCATCTCAATTACCCGCCCCCTCCTATCCTTCCCCAAACGATCCCTCCTCGCAACATGCAAAGCAAACAACATCCCCTACGTCGACGATCCAACGAACTTCGACCCAACTTTGACTCCCAGAAATGCCATCAGGAGTCTCCTCGCGGAAAAAAAACTGCCCCGTGCATTGCGCGAAGAATCTATCCTTTCACTGATAAGAAAGAGTAATTCCCTTCTGAGGTCTGTGACAGAGAACTCGAATGAGATTCTTGAGCAGTGCGAGGTCCTCGAGTTCGCGCCGGATACGGGGTGTTTGATTATCAAGTTCCCACCACCATCAAAGAAACCCACCCCAACAGAGAAGAACAATGACACATCATCCCTCACCCTCCGACGCATCACCGAACTCATCTCCCCGTTCCCGGAGAATCATTTCCCGTTACGGAGTTTCGAGCCTTTCGTTTCTCGTGTTTTCCCTTCTCCTTCTCCTCCCGCCTCTTCCATAGTACAAGAACGAGGAAATACCCCAGCAAAGCAACAGTCTTTCACATTAGGCGGGGTTATGTTCCAGCCTCTTCGATGCGATTCACCACCACGACCACCACCATCATCATCGACAACAACCCCAGATATCACAACCCAGAATCTCGTCTACGAGAATACCTACCTCCTCACCCGCCAACCATACATGCGGAACCGCCTCCCTATTCTTCCCATCATCGTGCCTATCTATCCACCCTCGTTGTCATCCTCATCCTCAGGTTCTTCAACCCAGCACAGCGGAAGCTCAGAAACGTCCCAAAGACCAATCACTACATCGGACTGGCATCTTTGGGATAACAGGTACTGGTTCCGAGTTACGGGGACGAGTATACCACTTTCATCAGGGGCAGGGGCAGGACCGACGTCGCTGTCGCTGGTTGTGCGGCCGCTACAAAAGTCTGATTTGAAGGGTATCCGCATGGCTGCGTCGAAGAATGAGATGAGAGTGTTGATGGATCGGTTGGGACGGGATGCGCCGGGGTTGGTACGGTTTACTTTGCCGATGTTGGTGTTAGTCGGAGATGGGGGGAAGGAGGTGCCGGTGGCGTTGCCGACTATGGAGATGTGGTTGCCTGGAGCTGGAGACACTCTAAAGTCATTGTCATGTAATGTGAAGTGGGAGTGGATGTATAAGATGATTGATCGAGAACCGTTGGAACGGACGGGTTGGTTGAAGAACTAGCTAAGCTATGCTACAAAGAGATTTCCAGACAAGGAATGTACGCATAAGTGAAGATATCACAGAGAATAGGAAAGGAAGAGATCGACATGCATAACCCGCCAACCCGAAGCAAACCCCGTCGGATGCAGTCCAGAATAGCCAAGCAGACCCGCAGGCTATGCCACGACACAAAGGAAAGAGAAGTGTTATGCACAGTGCGGAATAAATGAACGACGCTCCTGAGCCTCACCATGACTCAGACGCCAAAACCACCGTAAATTAGATTCCAAGAAAGAAAGGAAGGAAGGAAAAGAAAGGCCATCTCCAGTAACAGGCATACACTCATATCCAGTTCGAAGATATCCCAGGAAAGAAACAAAACATTAGAAAAATGAAAATGTACGTCAATGATGCGAGCCTGCTACCATCAGCGTTCACTCACTTGCTTTCAATAAGGCTACCGCGGCTTGCTGCGCGCGTAATCCTCCCACTTCACGTTTGAGCCGGAAATTTTCCTTCTTCAACCGGCCAATCTCCTCCAGGGCCGACGACAGTTGTGTTTTGAGCGCATCCTCGACATTGCCAGCTCTCACATCTTTGGCGATCTTGCTCAGTTCGGAGTTGAATCGATCGTAAAGAGCTTCGTTTTCAGCGCTTGCTTCACGATAAAGTTCGTCGAGCTTCTTGGCACGTTTCTCGCTGACCACCAGAGACGACTCCAGATCCTTTTCGATCGCCGCGGTGCGGCCATTGAATTCCCCGGATAGCGTTTCAAACTTCATCTCGAGGTTGTGGACACGAGACACCAAGAACGAATTCGCGGTTGGCGAGGCAAATGGCTCGTCAAGGGACTCGTGCCCTTGTGCGTCGCCTCTGACTAACGATGGAGTAAGTCTCATCGCCCGTAGTTCCTCACCAATGAGATCTAGCTCATCCTTGAGACCTAGCTGCGCCATGTTCTGTGCTCTCTTTTCACTATTAAGGCGATCCCGAAGCTGTGCCATCAATGTTAGTCGTCATGTCTCCCATATATCGTACATCAAACAAGGGACAAGCTTACCTTTTGGGGGCTCTGCAACCGCAATTTGGGGGTCTTCTGCGAAGAGGTCGGTTGCAGGCGTCTCGCATCAGAGCCATTGACTTGAAGCGGTCTCTCCTTCAGACCAGGGGCCCGAGAAGAAGGAATACTCGTAGCCCGTGACCTTCTCTTGGCCTCTTGCGTAGGAGATACCGAGGCCTCGCCTTTTCTTCTCGTGGCGCGTTCCGTCTGCGGCATTTTGGGATCGATATTTTCTTTTCGGCTGGGCGTCACTGGGCGTGTCGGTGACCGGCGGGTTGGCGAAGGCATCCGGGTGGGAGAGCCACCCTTGGCCGGTGATGTGCTTCGGACGGTAGAACCTGAGCCATGACTAGTTTGCGGTCGCGCCTGTCCAGCAGGAGTCGCCACATCGGCCCGGGGTTGATTGGAAATAGATGACGGAGTTGCAGGTCGTTGTCCCACACTAGACACGATAGATACATCGGAAGAGGCAGTGCCGGGTCGCAGGTCCGAGAGGGAGCTTCTTCTCTTGCGGCGCACTTTCACCACTCCATTCGTATTTGTCGGGATCCCGCGAACGGAGGACAGAGACGGTGGTTGCTCTTGAGAACTGCCTGGTCGTCGAAGATGTTCCTGGGAGAGAGATGCACCTGGGCGGTCGCGGGAGCCTGGTCGTAACAAGGACCCTAGACTGGTATCTATGTCGATCGACTTAGACCGTAGCAGCGACCCCTTTGGCGTACCAGGCTCTGAGTCACCCGAGCCCTTACCCTTGCTCAGGGTCCGGAGAATAGACGAGACCTTGCTTTCACCCTCCAGCTTAGAGTTTTCTCGGTGCAGACCGAAGCCGAAACGCTTCCGGAAGGAGGACGCGTTCGAGTTCATGGAACCTGCAGTCTGGGAAACCGACTTTGTTTGGTCGCAGTTGAGAGTCCCTTCTAATGAAGCACCACCAGGAATGTATTCATCAAACAGGTTGTCAAAGTCATCCACTAGTCGGTCCAGCAGAGAGATATGCTGCATTGGGTCGCCGTCGATTGTCAAAACTTCGGCAAAGGCCGCCGTCAAGGCTCCCCGATCACCATCACTACCCGAGGCATCCAGCAGCTCCGCCAGCAACCGGATCATGGAAGCCAGCGCACGCCGATTCTGGGGACTCTGGTCTGCCAAGAATCTTCGGAAGCTTTCGTCGAAGTCCCGCGGGAACATGTTGTCAAATTGCGCTTGCAGAATCCTTAGCGATGGGGAGTCGATAACGGGACCCATGTGTTCCCTCCACGCATTGGTCATGAACGTTTCGAAGGCCACGAAAAGCGTGTCGACGGGAACCTCGGCTGCTGCTTGGATCCGCCCAGGATCTTCCAGCAGAATGTTGTATAGCTCATTGACCGACGACCGATCGACATTATCCCTCCCGCGAAGAGACCGTCCGACAATGTTCCCACTCCGAGACTGCAGGGCGAGCGCATAAGCGGCAAATGTTTGCTCCAACGCACTAAACGGACTTTCCTCGCCCTTAGTGGGTGGAGCGCCCACCACTGAGATCTTGACCGGACTCTCCTCCTTTCCAGGAAACACCGAAGGCAGTGTGTTGGAGCGCGACATGTTGCCTCGAGGCGGGGGCATTTTAGGGTACTCTCCCAGTAGAGTTGCCGAATTCGGTGCCTTGGAGGCGGATGCATTGCTTTCCTTGGACTGACTCCCCCCGAGAAGGCTGGAGAGCAATTTTGAGGGCGAAGGGGGGCGGAAGCCACGGGGAACCTTAAACTGAGCCATGAGGTGGCCGGCAAGGTACCGAAGAATGTCAAAGTTGGAATGTACGATCGACTCCGTCATCGTCCGATTTCGAGGCCCGTGGAGAGGGAGGAGCACATTTAGCACTGCCAGAGTCAGTATTCATATCAGTGTCGATCAATCTGGCGAGTACTTACAGCGCTTCGAGAGCACGGGCACGAAACTATCCACGGTGACCATGTCTGAGGAGGCAGTGCCGACTACGGAATCAACATCTACCCGGTATTGGTCTTCATTGGCCAGAGACACGGATACTATCACCTCCAAGTCAGAATCCTTCAACTTTTGGCTGCACTCCGCCCTAGGAGTATCAAAAATCACCCGTATCTTCGACAGATTGGCTCTCTGCGCGACCTCTTCCGGCGCTTCTTCGAACACACATGCGAGGATCCCGAGATTTCCCACTGTACCGGTGGGGCTGCGCAGCGACCATTTGCCACTTTCCCGCTCGCTTTCAGAGAATCGGCCCTCGATCTTGGCTTTCGCAATCTCCTCTATGATTCGGCTCGCACGGCCTTCGTACATAGATACCGGCTCGAGTGCAAGCAGGTCCACTGTTGTGTTCTGGTCGGGTCTTGAGGTGGCGGATGCCGGGGCCAAGAACAATATTCGGCCACACGTGGACTGCGTACATCGCACAGTGTGTAAGTCGTATACTTGCACCACTCGGAGTTCGGATGAGGCGGGCGAATTGGGTGTGGTATTGGTTGCCGCGGCGGCGTTATCCAGATCGGCCAGGAGACCACGCGCTGTGGTCTTCGCACCCACTGGCTTCGATAGCAATACGAGACAGTTTTTGTAAATCAGCATAATGCCCGCGCTGGGCTCGGTGGGTGGGACATCGAGATGATAGGGCGGAGTTAGCTCGTTGAAATCCACGGCGGTGATCAGGCGGCCAGTTGGTAGAATCGTAGAGGGCCATCCGTCCACCAGCTCTTTCAACCGTCGGAAGCTCTGGTCGTGGTTCGTTGATGAAGCGTCATCCAGCGAGCAAATGTCCTTGATAACATCGCGCGCTTTCAGTAGTGGTCGGACGGCCGGGTGGACCAAAGGGAGACTGCCGGTCATGGTGTCGATCAGGAGACTATAGCGAGGAAGACGTTGCACTGGTTCCATGAGGAGGGAGCGCAGCTTCTGCTCTCCGGTTTCGTAGACGCGCTTCGAGAAGCTCGAGTGCTTGTCTCTCATGAATGAATTGAGCGTCTGCGTGAAGCCGGTATGAGCCCGCATATAATCGGCGTACGGCTGGGAAAATCGAGGAAACCAGTCTAGAAGCGCATTGGCAAAGGCCACTGCGCCAATCGCATCCGTTTCCTCCCGCGAGAAAGATCGTTGCGACACCGACCCCGGCAGTTCTGTATCATCGGTGAGGTCATCAATGGCTTCTTTTTCCGTCTCCTCGAGAACCTGTCGAATCACCCCTAGAAAACCCATGTTGACCTCAAGAATCTCATTCAAGCATGGTGGAAAGAGCGTGGCCAGATCGGACTCATTGGGGCTGGTGCTCGATGGGCCTCTGGCCTGGGCCTTTAACCGGAACTCCTCCGCCACATGACACACCAAGGTGTAGAGCTTATTCACATATCTCTCCTCCGTATCCACCACTTCGCACATGGTCAAGCGCAGAGCTTGTTTCTGGCCCTTCGAGAAGAGCCGGGACTTGCTCAGGTTGGTCGGTTGCGACGGGGCGCGCTTCAGTCGGGAAGTGGGTAGGAACATGGGCGCTCCTAGGGATCGTACCAGAGATGTATAGCGTCCGTATTGAAGATCGGGGGCATCGTACAAATCCGCATTACCATCATGAACATCATCATCGTTATCGGGCGGGGCAGGAGGCTGGATGACACCGGCGGGGAGGACCACGTCGATATCCACCCAAGGAACCTTGCGCTCTTGGAAAGCGCCACGAATGTCGCGCACAATGTCGGCGGTATGTTCTATTTTCGTCATGCGATTTGCTATTTCCGCCGCGTGCATTTCATCGAAGAGCTTGGGCAGTCGGAGCCCCGGTTTCCCGGCGCGGGCGAAGGTCTGCAAGCACTCCTTGGCGGGGTCCGACAGCTCTGCGAAGTACTTCAGCATACTGACGGCGAGACCACGACTGACTTCATCGCCTTGCTTTTCTCGGGGCAAGTGGTTGACCGCAGCGTACAAGGGGGCGGCGGGGGAGACGGTGATGCGCGGGTAG